GAAGAAAATAGAATGTCCATGCACTCTTGTTGGCAATGTAAACTGATACAGCTACTATGAGAAGCAATATTTAGGCTTTTCAGCAAACTAATAATATAGCTACATATAAACCAATAGTTCTACTATTGGAAAAAAAAAATGATATTTTGAAAAGGTATTTTCACCCCTAAGTTCACTGCAGCATTACTCACAATGGCCAAGATATACAGAGACAAAGTATCCACTGACGGATGAATGGATAAAGAAGATGTGATATATATGCATAATAGTATACTATTTAGACATAAAAGAAGAATAAAATTTTGACGTTTATGACATGGATGAACCATGAGGGTAACATGCTAAGTGAAATTAAGACAAATACTGTACGATTTCACTCACATGAAAAATCTAAAACAAAGGTAAATGAACAAACAAAACAAAACTCAAAGATATAGAGAACAGATTGGTGGTTGCAAGAAAGAGGGTGAGGAGGCATAGACTGGATGAAGGGCTCAAGAGGTATAACTTCCAGTCATAAAATAAGTAAGTATTGGGGATCTAATTTACAATATAGTGACTATAGTCATTAATATCATATTGTATATTATGTATATTATATGTTATTTACATGGCTACAGGGGGAAAACAAACTTATTAAGGTGATCATTTCCCAGCATATACAAATACTGAATCATGTTGTATACCTGAAATCACTATAATGTTACTTGTCAATTATACCTCAAGGAAAAAAAAATACAATTAATAAATAGATATAAATGAGAAAAAGAATTATATCTTTGATTCAAATATATACAATGATCTCTTTGGTGAGTATTTTTATCTTTACTTACTTCTAATTTTAATGAGTTCAACACATAAATACACAGCGAATTTTTTAAAAAAAATTATACGTCTTTTTCCCACAAAAGCATACTGATTTTTTCCAATGTATTTTGTCTTACTTAAAGTGTGATCCCTTTCCTTTAATTCTCTTCTCCTGCCCAAACTTAAATGTGCTTTATGAACATGACTGCGAAGGTGTTTTGTTTTGTTTTGTTTTCATCCCTTACAACCAAGTCCTGATCATTTGTGTCATTCCCTGAACATTCTATAAGAGCCTAATCTGTACTTGTTTAGGTTTGGAAACAGAATGTAGAAGCAGAAATAGATTTCACAGTTCAGTTAAACCATAACCTGCATCCAAGTACTTTTCAAAATGAAGACTTGACTAATATGCCTGAAATCTGAGTCAATTCACAGCAGGATCCATGTCTTTGATTTCCTATTCTGGGATTCTTTGTACCACATTCTGCCTATGAGATTCTGGAAGTATCTCTCTGTGACGTAAGAGTTTTGAATGATCACTGAAGCTGTTATGGACATTCTGAGTAGTATTAAATTATACACCGATTCGTGATATTATCTTGGGTATTTAAACTAAAAAAAACCCTAATGTTTATTCACTTTTGAGACACAGAGAGAGTGCAAGTGGGGGAGGGGCAAAGAGGAGAGAGACACAGAATCCAAAGCAGCCTCCAGACTCTGAGCTTTCAGGATAGAGCTTGAACCCACGAACTGTAAAATCATGACCTGAGCTGAAATTAATCAACTGAGCCACCAGGTGCCCCAGGCATTTAAATTTTTGTTATTAAGGTATTATTGGTATAGTTTCCCACAATAATATTGTTTTGTTAACCAATATACATATACATTTATTTTAACTTTACAAATTTATTCAACTTTCTTTATGGCTTTTAGTATATGTAATGTCTAATATGTGAAGACTATGAACAACAGTTTAACATATTTTCATTTTCTAAAGCTGTTTTTCTTATGTAATAATTACCTACATGTGATTTGTCAGCAAGTGAATATGTAGATTTATAAGCCAATTTCCTTTCTTTAATGTTAAAACATGTCATCAATTTACCAAAGAGTTGTACTTATTTCAAGAAACTAAAATTATGTAACTATAGATCATATTTTTCCACACAATTTTGACTCTTCTCCAAGTGCAACAGCAATTTCTAAACTTCACATCTGCTAAATATTACCAGGGTTATGACACATTCTGTAGTCGACAAACATTAAAGTGACTCTCAGTGATGTCTACATTCTTTTGTTCATACTTTGCATAATATCCTCCTATTGAGTATGGGTAGAAACTATAACTTGCTTCTAACCAATAGAATGCAGTAAAGGTGATGGGATGTCATTCCCATCATCTTATTAAAAGTTATAAAAGATTGTATTTACTAGTTTCGTTCACTCTCTATTGTTGTTGTTATTTAACATTTATTCCTTGTTAAGAGACAGAGCACTATTTGGAGAGGGGCAGAGAGAGAGAGAGGGATACACAGAACCTGAAGCAAGCTACAGGGTCTGAGCTGTCAGCACAGAGACTGACGCAGGGCTCGAGCCCAGGAACCATGAGATCCTGACCTGAGCTGAAGTCAGATGCTCAACGACTGAGATACCTAGCCGCCCCTGTTGCTGTTTTCAAATAACCAAGTTGCTTTCAGTCCTGCAGCTAAAAGGAAGTAAATTCTGCCAGCAATCTGAAGGAGCCTGGAAGTGAACCCTTCCACAGTCAGTCCTCCAGAGGAGAACCCAACTATGGTCTGCACCTTGACCAAAAACTTATAAAAGCTCTAATTATGCCATGCCTGTATTTTTGACCCAAAGAAACTATGAGATAATAAATGTGTGTTGTTTTAACCCACTATGTTTGGGGATATTTATTACATAGCATAAAAATCTACTAATTATTTTTCTTAAATTTCCTGCTTCTGGGCATTCATTCTATAGCTATCATGAAAACCTTTTTGGAGCTGGGGATTTCTAAAGTATTTATGCCTCTTAATTTGCTATTAAATATCTTAAATTATTATTTGAGAACCAATGTTTGCTGTGTTTAAAGATCATTGAAGGAATTACAGATTCTCCAGTAACTGCTCACAAACAAGCAGAATAACTAGAGATAACACATTAATGGATCCAGATTTTATGACTTTGTTTCTTCAATCTAGAATAAAGCCTTCTTTCAGCTACAATTTAATTTTGACACTTTATCAGTGGCTAGAATCACTTTATTATGGCACTAGCTCTTAATGATACCTATAATACTATAACTGATACTCATATAGTGTATGGAGGACTTATATAGCAGTAAAATTACTCTATTATAATAATTATTCAAAGGAAGAGAGAAAAGAATATACTACATTGCTATATAACAAATTGAATATTACTTCATTAGCTATATAGGAGAAAATAAAAGGAAAAATGAATTAACATTTAATGAGTAACAGCTCTACGTCCAGCATTTTGTTAGGCCTACTCAAGCTAATATTGTAGTCTTGAACCAATACTTGATGGTTAAAAAAAGATGCAAAAGTCTTACATTTGCATCTTTGACATCAAAGAATTAGAAGTCATCACCTCTAGTCTTACAACAAGGAAAAAGTTGAAGAAATTAAAATCAATGACTTTTCTTGAATCCATTAGAGAACAGAGGGCACTAAAACCTAGAACGGCAGGTGAATCCAGGTTGTCACTGCCAAGATCTTACGTGGAACAGAGTCTGCAAGAGCAACAAAATTAAATGGTTATTTTGACAAACTGCTGCAGGCTCAATATCAATTAACCTAAGAGTAAAGAAAGTTCAGGGGGCCACAATTTAAGGGAATCCCCATAATTCATGGGTTTACCTCAAATAATCCTAACGATTCTCATAGCAAAGAGCCAAGGGAAAAAGGTTTTGGGACTCTGGCAAATAGTAAAGATAAGTAGTCATTTGGAAATATACTCAGAGCATTCTATATAACAAGGCTTAATCTTTACTGGAAAATAATTTACCTATTGTTGTCTGAGGTGAAGGAAAGGAATTTCCCCAAATATAGGTTTCACTATCCCTTCACCTAAGCAGGGAAAACAAAACAAAACAAAGCAAAACAAACTAAGAAACACCTGTGAAGGTCACACATAGGCAAGGAATGCAGGCTCATTAAAAGCCTTAGATTTAATCATAAGATTATAAAATGCATCCCTTCTTCCACTCTTTATCACCACAACAAAAAAGCTCGAAATCAATAATGTGGATTATAGCTGAGAGATCTACAATGCACTGACTCTCAGGCTGAGTTCTTAGGAACGCTCAGAGACAACCCAGAGAAACAAAATTCAAAAATAATACAGGAACTTGAAGCATCCATTACCACAGATCCGGGAAGCTCAAAGAACCAAACATGATAATGACCAAAAATTCTATACCTGGGCATATCACATTCAAATTGCAGAGAAACAAAGATAAAAATGAAATCTGGTAAGAAGCTAAAAATAATGGGGCGCCTGGGTGGCTCAGTCGGTTAAGAAGCTAAAAATAAAACCAATTTAACTACAGAGAAAAGTGACAAGAATTACATAGACTTCTTGTCATAAATCATGCAGTAAAAAGAGAGTAGAGTGAAATGATTTAAGTATTGAAAGAAAATCACCAAAAACCTTGAATTCTATAATCTTTTAAAAGTGAAGGAGATACAAGACTTTATCAAAAAATTTTTTTTAAATAAAATTCACTGACAACACAACTACCCTATAATAAATGTTTAATGAAATTTTGAGGATGAAGGAATTTAATATGTCTAAAACTTGAATTTACATGAAGAATGGAATAGCACCAAAGAAAAAATAGTTGATGGTAAAATATGTGTATTTTTTAATTCCTGTATTTTTTTAAATTTATCTCTTATTTTATCAAGGTAAAAAGTATAGAAGCATCACTTGCAAGTGGTCAACAATCATTATTGAATGCAACTAAAAGGAGTGCACTCTACTTTTTTTTCTAAAAAAGAAAACAATAGTTTCTAATTCATTCAATGGCAACTGGTAATCATTAAATTAGCAATGATTACCTTCAAAAGTTATTACACAAGCTGTGCTGTCATTTCTTAAGGATGATCAGGTACCTAAAGTCACAGATATTTCCCACATAAGATGCATCATATAAATCAGACTTGGTTTATCACAGGAATTGATAAAACCAGACCTAGGGAAAGAATTAGGTCAGAAGACATATGTATGGTCTTAATATAGTGAATGTTTAGCCCACCATGATTATTACAAAATCAGAACAGCAAGAATATTTGCAGTAACTTTTCCTATTCTTAATTGATCCAAAAATAAAACTGTTAGTATTATTACTAATAGTACTAATTTAATGATTATACTATAGGGATAAGTGAAATGAATTATAGCAAGGTTAAAAGGGATGGAAGAAGGAAGAACATGCTCTTTTTCATGTTACTTGCACTACATGGGAAGCAATATAGTGTTAGTTGAAGGGGGATTTGGGTTACTTCAAGGAAAATCACTATTTTTTTAAGGAACCCTAACTGATATGAAATACAGCAGATAAAATGGAATCATATAAAATGTTCAGTTAAAACCCAAGGAAGGATAAAGGGGAGGCAGGAAAAAAAAGACAATCATGACAAAAAGGAAACAGTTACAAAAAGGTAGATATTAAATGCAAATACATCAAGAATCCACTTTAAATATGAATGGTTCACATATGCTAATTAAAGACAGAGACTGTCAGAGTGAGCTATCAAGCCACAAATAATATGGATGAACTTTAAATTCTTATTCCTAAGTGAAAGAAGCCAGTTGGAAAGGGCTACATACTGTATGATTCCAATCATATGTATTATATTATAGGAAAGACAAGACTACAGAGACAGTATAATGATCAATGGCTGGCATAGGATGGGACAAGAGAAGAGTGTTGAACAGGTTAAGCACAAGGAATTTTTTTAAGGTAGTGAAACTGTACTGTATGAGACCAAGATGGTGGATATATGACTATATAGTAATCAAAACCCATTGAACTTTACAGTAGCACAAAGGTTAATCCTTAATATACACAGTTAAAAAATTGTTAATGTTATCAAGGGTTCCCAGGAGGTAATGCAGACAGTAACAAAAGATTCTAACTCTATTAAAATTGAATGAACAACAGCACTTGAAGAGGTGGTGGAAAAGATGCTGACCTAAATACCTTGAAGTAAGGAAAGCCTATAAAACACAATGGGGGAAAAAAGTACATAAGTCCTGTAGTCTAGTTGATAATGTTGTTTCTAGTAGTGGTATAGGTCTTCAATTCTGATACTATGTATGCACACTGGAAAGGAACAATTAGGTAAGTCAATAATAGATGGTATGAACCAGGTTTCTTATCACTGGAGTGGGAATTTACAAACAAGGAAGGGGACAAAGACAGAAAGATTCATGTGGTAACAGATTAGAGTTGGAGACCTCCATATCAACTCATGTTTAGCTTAATATAGATAGAGCTGGTTATACAGAGAAATACTTACACACATATGTGCATACACTAGCTACTATACACACATGCATATTCCTTTGTTCTCTCAGCTGAGAGAGCATAGATGTAATGACACTTCAGTAGCAATGAGTATACCTACTGTCCAAGTCTTGGTTTCAGATCCCTTTCATTGTTTGACAAAAGGAACCAGGGATATTTAAGAAATGGCCAATTATAGCCAAGGGCTAATATAGAAGAAAATTTATAGTATCTTACAATGAAAGGAAGGAAAGGTTACAATGATGGGGGTATGTCATAGAACACAGGAGCCAAATGAAAGAGTTCTCAATGGTGGAGATGAAAATGTCTGCAAAATAAATAAATAAATAAAATAGTTTTGGCTTATAATCCAAAGTATGATATTACTATCCATGGGTTCATGCTCATATAGTAAATGAATGTAAAATAAATGAGAGAAAATATATAAATAACCTCATTCCAAATAGTTGATGTAGATATTCTAAGGAGGAAAAATATATTTCTTCAAATCTTAATGTCGGATTTTCACAGTAACTTCTTTCTAAAGAGTGTATCGTACAGAAAGGGAAGAAAAGACTAATTTTATAGTAGAGAAACTCAACAAATAAAACCAGGTGAGCAAGTTGTTTAAGGCTGATATCAATAGTGGTAAATTATATGAGTAACAGGCATTCTTAATGGAACAAAATAAAAATGGCACTTTACCTCTGTGATCATCCTACCAAAAATATATAAGCTCAATTTAATCATGAAAATATGAAAATATGATTAAATACCTGTGCAGTACTCCTCAAAACCATCAACTTGATCAAAAACAAGGAAAGTATGAGAAATTGTCACAGCCAAGAGGAGTCTAAGAAAATATGATAACTAAAGGTAATGTAGTATCCTGAATGGGATCATGAGCAGAAATAAGACAAAATTAAGGAAATGTGAAAATTTTCAGTAAATAATAATGTATCAATAATGATCTGTTATTTGTAACAAATGCACCAAATTAATGTAAGAAGTCAATTATAGGAGAAAATGGCTGCAGAGTATGAGAATTCTATACTATCTTCATAATTTATTATCAGTCAAAAACTATTCTAAAGGACAAAATCTTAATGAGAAATAAAGGTCAAAAAATGGTGTATTTCCATGAATTTCAACATAAGGAAATACACTTGCCTTTCTAAGGATATAAGATAAATGGGAACTCAATACAGCAACACTGTTAAACGATTACTTTTGGTCATCAAAAAGGGTGGGTTTGAGTCCCTGCTCTAATACTGAATTATCTTCAATGAATTATCTTCAATGCTTATAAATATTGGGTGTATGTGACACTAATATAATCACAACACTTTTTTGAGTACTCAGAAGAATTATGTACTGAAACCTCGAAGGGAAGAAATGCTTTCCAAAACAAGGTTAGATTACTTAATTTGAAGTTATAAACAGATCCAAATAGAGGCTGGTGGTGTGAATATCAGTCAGTGTATGTGTTTGCATTGCTTGTATTTGTGTGTGATTGCTTGAATTTGTAGAAATCTGTGGTTGGAAAGCAATGGAAGCCTAGAAATAGAGCACAGAGCATCTGGTTTCAACAGTGTTTCCAGTTTAGTTCTGGGAAGATGATGATCTGAAATAAACTAGTATTTCTACTGTGGTCACAGGTAGAGTTGGATTCATGAAGCTATGTTAGTCAGGTCAGGGACAATAAAATCATCTATTTGATTTCTCTCCTGCTATAAAGTTTAGCAGTTTAACATCTGACTATATTTAGGATTTCCATGTACATTTACACAAAAACAATGCACTCACCAGGAAAAAAAAATGGCATACCTTCACATCTTTATTCTAAAAATCTCTCCTTTAAAATGTAATTAGATGTCTGATTGGTATGCATCTATTCTGAGCTCATTTAACCTAAATCATCCATGGGGTTGATCAACTTATGATGTCCCAGGGATTTTCCAAATAATACTCAACATTTCTGCATATATTTTTCTTCCAAATGCAACTTCCTTCTTCCATCACTCAAACATGTTTTAACTCATTTAGATCTGAGGTTAAACTATTTATACTGTGAATTTTAACATCAGTATGAGTTACTAAATCAGTATAATATTAGGAAGTGGAAACATTAGTATTAGTGTCACTTCATTTATAATAGTCACACCATGTCATGTGGCCAATTTCCCAATTTACTCAAGAATATTAACATAAAATCATAAGAAACAAACACAGATTCAAAGGCATTTGAGAAAGAAACCTGGCATGCTATTTTAGAGACACTTCTTTAATGTATTTTCTAGGCTCTTAGTCCATCGTTTTCAGTTTAAATACAGAGAATGGAAAGTGTTCAGTGGCATTTAGTTTCATGATGATTTTAATGGGAAGGAGGAAGGCTGGACAAAAACACTTAAGTCGTGATTCTCCCAAGGAGTCTAATACAATAGTGATGACACAGGTTTTACAGCCAGATGGATGTGAAATGGAACTCCAAAAATCCTTACTGCTTGCTGAAATTAAGGAAGTTTTCTACTTTCTCAAGGCCTCTTTCTGTTTCTTATTAGGTAGAGACAATAATTCTATCTACTTTCATAATGGTAGCTTATCACACAACTAGTTCTCTGTAACTTTTAATATTCATTGTAATTTATTTTGTTAGTATCATCATTAGTGTGATAGTTATTATTTTACTGTACTACAAACACAAAATCTGGTTCACTGATGGGGGGGGAGAAACTCTAATAAAATATCAAACTAGGATTCTAAGTAGTATTAATGCCATCCAAACAGACCGTGACCCAATACACTAATAATAATAATAGTAGTAGTAATAATAATAAATTTAAAAAGTCAGTTCCCCGGTTTTCATCTCTCTTTATACATGGGCCAAAAATGATATGAAGGACTGTAAATATATATATATATATATTTATAAATATACTTATAAATATATATATTTTTTCTTTAAGTATAAAAAATAATTTAAGTCATCATAAAGAAATGGACACAGTATTTCATACAAAAATCCAAAAGGTTTGGACATAAAGATGTAATAACTGTAATAACTACAGTGATTAATAATATTTTTACTCTGTCAAAATGACATTTAGTATATTGTATAGAAAGGGGACAAACTGTTGTAGTTCATTTGGTGCTATATGAGTAGTTCTGGCCTATGGATAATGAATAGAAATGACGTGCTACTTTGAAACTGTGGAATTTGACATCCTTCCCATCTCTCTCTCAATAACACTGGAGACTAAGTTATCCACAATAAATAATGGATTTCCTGGAATCTGGATTTTCCGAGATACAGGTTAAGTATACAGTATATTTATTAAATACTGTCTTTGGGATCAGTAATAACTGTGGAAAGGAGAGGAAGGAAACAAGACTGCGCAGAGGAACAAATTTAAGCTGTGATGCTGGGACCTGACTTGCCCTCTCTGGGAGCTAGAAAAATTTAAAAAGAAAGAAAAGAAATAAAAAGAAAAAGAAAAGAAAAGGGCCTATTTAACATTGAATATTACATCGAAGAGTCATGCTTTCACATAAATGCCTTAATCAGTCTTTAGATGTAAGGAGTCAGTCTCTGAAGGAAGATAGGGCCAGTGCATCATCATGTCCACCACATTCCAACATGCACAATTTTAAGATGGAAAAATGCTGCCAAAAGCAGCATTCAACTGTGTCATTAAGATTAAGCCACTGAGTTTCAGGTCTTGTCTACTGCTTTGCTAGTGTTAGTTTTCCTAATATAAGAATATATTAAAATGTATCTACCTCTAT